CACAACGGACTGGCTGGAAAGTTTAGCTACCACCCGCTAGCACGAGTTGGAATGTACAGGTAAGAGGTTAAACTCGAATGAAACAAGAAGAAAGACGTTATGATTTCATGACTCACCTGGAACCGGAGGGTTTCATGACCGTGGAGAGGCCTCCCGGTTCTCGCGCGGAACCACCAAACCAATTTTTTCACAAGGTAACAGATAATAACAAAATAACAAAAGTCCTACCTGCTCCTAGAGCGGTCACTGCGGCCATCGAAGCCGGGTACCTCGACAAATCGCATCTCGGAAAGCCCTGACGAGGGTTGTTGGGTTCGTTGGATGCAACAGTTTCGGATGGCATTGTCTTAGACAACTGACGTTCTGTAGCCAAACATTCCCACCCTTCTTGTGACCTAATTCAGCACTGCTGTCCTAAGGTTACAGAAATTCCGGTTATTCCTTCCGGCGACCCCAATTATGCTGGCATCTGCGTCGGTTCGACACAGGGTCAACCGTCACGATGAACTAATTTCAAGAATTTCACGTCCCACTCCTTTTAGCTAGTCTCGATCAGGGTGAATATCGGTCGAGGAAATCCTCGACAGGGGGTCGTACCTGTCGGGTGGGTCATGGGGGTCGTACTCTTGGGGGTCAGTAACATCAGTGGCATCGTGGTGCAGATAGGAGAGAGGGTGTAGCGCAGCAGAAAATGAAGATATGAAAAAAATGATATAAATATTCTTTGCAGGTTCAGTCGCTCCATTCCTCTACCTTTATGAGAAGGACGTATTTGAAAGCAGTACAAGGAATGAAAGTGCATCTCCGCAATGTGTACACGCGCTTCAAAAACACTAGGCCCGCTCCCTCGCCCTTAATACCTCGTTGAGAATGACGCAGTTGTTAGGGAGCTGTCGCAAAAACGGCAAGAGTTCTGGAAAGACCATGGGCAAATGAAGCTGTTCCTTAGGTTACAGGAGTTACGAAATGTGTTTACTACAATACAGTTTCTGTCAACAGGTCATCATCATATGTATAACACCTTTCAATAGATTCTACAACTTGAGTGGAGGTCGGATGCATGGCCTATACTGAGACGAGATCGGACGATGACGATTGCCCTTTTTCTTGTCGCTTATGTTGGGAAAATTTATTCTAGACACATTCGATAGCTTGCCAGCGAATCAACTTGCAATGGCGAGGAAGGAACTTTTAGGTGGCCGAGATCCATCCTCGATAGACCCTCGACGAAAATATCTCCTTAACTAGAAAGTGTAGAAAAAAGCTAAACCGGCTGTTGGAAAGGGCAATCCTCTCTTTTCATAGTTGTCTTCAATTTTTTTCAACGTCCTACTAAATTGAAGTATTGCCTTTCGAGAGGCAAAAACACGCATGAAAAATTCAGCATCCTCGACTCGACGCTTCCTCGACAAAATTTGAGAGACCCAGTCTCTGCGAGTGTTAAAGCTTTTAGATCAAATTGAACATTGCCCGACTAGTAGCAAATCCTTGGTCTGTCTAATCTTACCATATACTGCTCCAATAACTTGTGACATGGGTGGAAGTGGAACCTTTTTCATCGAAAGATGTAGATTTTAGACGTACGGTTTGGAGGGCGGGTTTCGGCGCGAATCTGACCCACGGATGAATTGCGCTGCAGCTGACAATGAGTACTTTGCTGTGCATTGATGGAACTTGCTTATTCAAATCAAATCAAAGTTAGAGGGGTCATATCAATACCCCGATCCGACGGGAGGGGGTGGTACTGATGTGACCACGTCCTCGACACGATTTTAATCCTGGTCTCGATACGGCTTTCCCATGGGGGGGGGGGGGTGTGGGGGGGGCGAGAGGTGTATTAGGACGTGTACGACGTTGGGGTATGTGGTGGGGTGGGGTGTGTTTGCGTACTACTTCGTACTAGTACTTCGAGCGTTACGCCAGAAATGAGTGTGGTAGCGTCGCGTGGCGCGCACAAACTTCCCCTCGTCCCAGCGAGGATAGACCGCGATACTAACTTTCAGATGAGTGTAATTCTGATCCTCCGATATTTTTCAAAACGCTGAGTAGATTTGTAATCAACGAGGCTACTAGTTCTAGAAAACAACCCGCTCGTACAGTATCTTCAGTACTCTTTTATTTATGCGGTAAAGACTAAGGAATCCACAGAAATACGGCATCTTCATTTGAAAGGTCGTAATCTCCCTCAGAAAGGGCGTGAAAGGCGGTAAAAATTTCAAACCCTAGATACTCTTAAAAGGTAACTCGAACTTTTGCAAGTTCATTTCTTCAAAAAATCGCCCCGTTTGGACGCCGTTTTGTGCACAAACGGGTTTTTTGGCTTTCAATGACTATAACTTTCTTTAGATTCATCCTTTTGCAATTCTTTCCCCCTGGAATAAACTAGAAGGTTAGAGCTTTCTAACGAATACTTGATCTTTCCAAAATTGATGGGTCAAAAAATCGCCTTGTTGGACAGTTCTGGCGAATTTGTGGACCGATTTTCGGCAGAGCGCTGGTTTTTTGACTTTGAACTGTTTGACTCTTCTTCAGATTGGATTTTTGCAATTCTTGTTCCCTGAGAGAAACTAGAAGGTTAGAGCTTCAGTGAATGCTTGATCTTGATTCTATGGGGAATAGTGGTACCATGACATGGCAGAAGCTTTGTGCTTTATAGCAGTTACTCACATAATAATCAAAAATAAAGGGCAGCCACGGTGGACAATAGCGTGAACGAATACAAAACGTCCACATCGACCGAATCACCCGCCTTGCGGCGAACGAACTGACCTCAGGAGGAATAACTCTACGCGTCAGAATCCATGAAAGTCCCGATTCAATGTTAGTTGAGGGGGGATGAAGAAGCGGCACAAGCGGCGGAGGGGTTTTCGGCGTTTATGAGAGTGATGAAGTCCGTAATGCGTGGGCTGTGCGGTCGTGTGGGGCGAAGTCCGCGCGTACGTGCGAGTTGAGGGGCTTTCAATTGACCCCAAGTATGAAAATGGCGGGATAACATGTATGATCGAAGAATAATTATTGCAAGGTGATCCGAAATCAACTGAAAATTGGAACCGAGCCGTCCCAAGAGCGGGAGAAGCATGGGGGGGGTGCCACCATCTCCAAGTAAGCTCTGCTACCGGCGCTTCTCGACAACTGAATTGCTGAGGATAGATGTCGCGTTGGCGATAACGGAGTACTACCTTCTGCCATTCCTTACAGAGAGAGAGTGGAGGCTGATCGAGGTGCTCGCAGAGCGGCGCCGAGAGCGATCTGGTGGCTTATGCCTCATATGAAGTGTTCAAAAGACTGGAAGTTGAGCGCGGAAAGAGAGATTTTACTTAAGCCTCCCGCGACACCTTTCATCCGTGCGCGAGAAGCTACTCCTCACCGGGGGACATTTTGTTGGACATATATAAAGTGCCTTGAAGAGGAATTCCACGGTAAGAAACGGAGGGACGAACGCAAAAGCCTTAGTGAAGGCCGGACTCCTAAAGGGTGCGGATCCAAACCACAATTAGCGTCGAAGGATATGCCCTTGGCATCCTAGACATAGCCTTCGCATTTGCATTCGGGCGCGGTAACGCCCACCGCCCCCCCCCCCCCCCCTATGCTTATCATTTGCCGCAAGCATACAAGCCCGGCGAGCGATTAGATAGCTAGAGAGGAGAGAGTAATAGCCTTGAAAGAGGCAGAACGCTGAGTTGCATCATGCGGAAATCATTGGAAGGTAAGGGGTCCCATTTCTCACGTTCCGAACCGTTTTTCATGGTTTCTACTTCATTCCCTGCTCAATTGACCACCTCTGACCTTATTTACAATGATCTACCTTTTCATCATGTGTCTTTAATAATACAAATTTTAATTCATTTATCTCTCAAGGAAAGATAATAAACAAGGGCAATGACATGGCCTGAGAACGCTCATACACACACAACTGTACATAGTGATCGTAGCACGACATTTCGCACTACTCGTCGAATTTCAATCAAATGAATGAATCACGGTAAATATGAATTCTCCATCTAGAAGTGTTTTAACAAAATGCAGTATGAAGCCTTTCTAAAAGCGCTAGTCGCAATCGAAAATTACACACCGTAAACCCCCTAGATGCATATCAAGACACGGCTGAGGACGAGTTTGAGGCGCGAGTGTCGCACCACAACTCCTCCAAACCGCTTCTTTCGTCAACAACCTTAATAACAAAAATCACCAGTGTCAAAAGCACAATGACTACGTATCGGTGGAAATGTAACACGGACATATCGACCCGCGCGATAGGACAGCACGGGGGGGGCATGGTAATACCGTGGCCGTTCAGGGCCTTCATCTTTGCATAACGTTAGAATAGATACCTGAAACCTGCCCACTGATAAGTAACCTCCATGGGCGGTATTCAATCCTTCCCCCAGGGGGATATATCCCCCTACTCTGATTCAATCCTCTGGGGGGACAAAAAAGGGTTGCGTCATAGGACCTAGCATACCTCTGTGTTTCTACCTGCCAGACAGTTAGAGCAGCGCGACCCCTCAGGGAAAGAGTGCTTCATCAGTGGAGGGTAGTAGCGCTGCTCTAACTGTCTGGCAGGTAGAAACACAGAGGTATGCTAGGTCCTATGACGCAACCCTTTTTTGTCCCCCCAGAGGATTGAATCAGAGGAGGGGGATATATCCCCCTGGGGGAAGGATTGAATACCGCCCCTGGTGAGACTTAACGAGCTTACATGTTGCGCAGCGCACGGTAACAGTTGCAGGTGGGTCATGTAAAGATGAAGCTAACCGCGGAGGGAGGTTAAGCAAAACGGAGCCTTACATGTTGCCAGGCCCGGTAACAGTTCTGCAGGTGTCAGTCATGTAAAGCTGTCAGGATGAACGCCGCGAGCGGAGGGTAAGCAACCCACGAGCACCTCTCGTACATGACGAAGTGAAACAGAAATCAGACGAGTCAAATCACTATAATCAAAACGACAAACGGATGTGGTTAAGTAGAAACATGGCACTCGAAATGTGGGCGAATTAGATAAGAAAGATAAGAAAAATACGGGGAGGGTGACACACAAAACACATACATTTGAAAATGACTAGTTAACTACTGCTGAGAAGTGAATGACTTTAATAAACTATTGAACAAATCCCTAAAATACTGCCTAAACACCGTCAATAACCAGACTCTGTCCGAAACGCAGTGGATCACCGGCTTTGATGGCAAATCGGATCGTGGGCGGCGCTTGGAATACCTGAACATGATAGCGTTAAATCCGAGGTCATACAAAAAAGGTTACTATCATGTATTGAAGATTAATCGCTTGGCATTAATCAAAATCCTGCAAGAAATGCATCATGCAGTCGACATAAATTTGAAATCGTACAGGATTCGAGTGCGTTTGAGGTCATGTAGACTTTTCATGAGAAGACTCGATTCATATGTAGTCGAAACCCGCATCTTTAGTCCACCAGGCACATTGTATGTAACCTTCTCAGGTCACACTAGAAGCAACAACCCCAGATCGGTACCCCCAAGCCCATGGCGTACAAAGAGGGCAGGGTCGCGGGCGAGTCGCAGCGCGTGATGTGCGATGAAGACGCGATTTCCCTGATACGCGCGCGACTCGTCCGCTGACTCCGCCTTGCCGCGCGACGGGCCTTCTTGGGGGTACCCCCCAGATTCATAATTGGTGGAGAGTGAAACTGTGAATGCCGAGTAGACTAAAACTGAAAAAGCAAACCGCCGATGAAGCCTATAAACAAGAACTCCCTTTGCCCTCCCCCTTCTCGAAATAGAAGAGGAGCGTGTCGGACGAGTTGTCTAAACTTGCTTGTCCATAGCTCCACTCTTCGCGTACTTGATTTAGCCGCTACGTGGTCACCCACGCTGCGTGTCACGAGGTGTGCACGAGGTATCTCGTCCATCAACTAAACATTGGTCGTCATAAGCTCACTTTGTACTGTCCGTCAATGTCGCGGCCACTTTCGAGCTTAACAACGGCTCAACTGTGACACTCGCCGGCTAACCTATCCCACCTACAATATGGATTGTTCGACAAGACCTCAACTAGGGCTTTTAATAGTAGTTTCATACGAAAAAAAGATGACCTCAGATGATTCGATTATTACGGTCTTCTTCTTCCCCCACTCACAACCCCCACCGATAAATATTTTGTTTTGCTTGAGGATATTATTGACAACGGCCGGAAATGTCACTCACTCAGCCGGATGGTCTAGTATTGGTTCACAACAACACTTGAAATATTCCAAGAGAAATAAAAACAACTATAAAGCGGATAGCTGCTTATGGCCGAACTCACCAAGACGACAGTGGGAGCCCAGACGGAACTCGCCGACTCTATCGCCAGGAAGATAAGCGCTATGCATATCCACCTCCGTATGCAGCATCTTGTCCTTCTTTCGTCGCACTAAATTTCGTTCGTAATGACGGCTCCTAAAAGTGTGGCAATTAGTGATAATCCCAGTAACATTCAAGAGCAATCAAAGGCTCATACCGCATCGATGACTATATCGCCGACGTTCGTCGCAGCGACGGCTGATAAGGAGAAAAAGCCGTGCTTCCACGTGCCATTGTCAGCTGCGAGCGCGCGCGGGTGGCGTCTATACGTCTCCGTGGCAGCACCACCCCACGACCCTCTGGAGTGCCACATAACATCCTGCTTGAGGACTGAGATGCGAAAACCGTGACGGGTACTATGGGGTTGGACAGCAATGCAGACCTAAAATCAGATGGTAAGAGAGGGGTAAAAAAAATTCTGCTAGAGTTCAGGAATTTCTTGAAAGATTACCAGGTACATGGGCGACACATTTTCGCAACCCATCGTGTAGGTGAATGGAAAGCATGATAGTTACCAGGTGCAAGGTAGATGACCACCTGGTAGAGATCGAGCTCGTCCTGAACGAGATAATTCTTTTCGGTGTGAGGTCGACGCAGCGAAACTGTCATTTTGTCTCTGAGGTGACTATGAGGTTAACCGAAAACTTTTCAGCACAACTCCTTTTGTAAATATTTTGAAAACAAATCGCTGTGGAGGTCAGAGGTGTGCAGCATCTCCCGTCTACCAACGCCAGCGTTCGAGCACCTTGTCGATTCTCTTCTCCCAGCGGTAAGTGGACCGGGGGTTCAGTCCATAAGTGGCCCCCTGACCTCTATCCTTTAGCTCGGAGTTTCTCTTGCAGGAACACAGGAGATGACTGAAGAGGCATTAGAACTGGGTGAGTCAAAGGTATAATGAGCCTGAGGAAAACCAGTCACCCATACGTCATCAGGATTGCTTTGTTGTGGAAGATGAAAATCAAACTAGGGCTGCCCTCGCTGCACACCAGTGATCAAGCTGCTTATTCCCACCACTTCGCCCCCGACTTGCCCTTACGCCAACTGCCTTCGCAAACGGAAAGAAGATCGAAAACCGAATTAACGTGTTTTGCTGGAACTTTAGCACCTCTATTAGTAACTCGATTTAAGTTATCACAATACGACTGTCTAGTGTTTCTGGGATAAGAGACCACGGAAGCCTCTAAAGGAAAAGATGAACGGCGTAATATTTTAAGAAGCTGACAAATGGATAAAAAAGGAGCGTTCGCTACCAGGAAGGTCTTTCAGGGCGTGACGAGCTTTTTGAAAACGGTCTTTTGCATGATATAGGGGCAGATGCGGGGACCACAGAACCATGTTTAATTTTTCCTGAACGGCCCTCTGAATACCAGAAAAGGGGTCCCTAGTTCGATTCCTCTTGGTGACAAATTTTTGCATTTCGAGTTGACGTTCCAAAATTCGCGCAAAATGGAGTTCTGATTGTTCTGGTTGGTTCTAACTCCATTTTGCGCGAATTTTGGCACGTCAACTCGAAATGCAAAAATTTGTTACCACGAGGAATCGAACTAGGGACCTCCTTTTCTGGTATTCAGAGGGCCGTTCAGGAAAAATTGAACATGGTTCTGTGGTTCCCGCATCTGCCCCTATATCATGCAAAAGACCGTTTTCAAAAAGCTTGTCACGCCCTGAAAGACCTTCCTGGTAAGGCAGCTAGATCAGCTCAACAATTGGGCATAGCAGCTGATTATACATGAAAGTGATTGAAGATTCAAAAGAATGAAAGAGAGCGGATACAAACGAACAACAAAAGGAACTTGCATTTCCCATTGAATGATGCGTGATTGAAATGAATTTCAAATGAGCTTTTCGGAAAACGGAAGAAGACATCACTCACCCTCTGTGTCATTTCGACATCACCGAGGAACGACGCGACCTCGTAGTCATGGCCTTTCACATATTCGATCTTTCCATCTTCTACCTTTCCATAGTGCAAAACTACTCCGTCTGCGGGTGACACCTGAGAGGAGATCATTTCAAAAGCAAAATGAGTAATACTATAAATTGGGTACTTTAAAAAACTTGCCAGTGAACTAGCGCTAATTGGTCTGACTTCCTTCTTCAGCTGTCGATTGAAAAAAGCCGCGAAGGATGGATACGCCTGAAAAAACTTCTAATTCTATCAAGTACTATAATATTTACTTCGACCAATTAAAGAGCTTTTGGTGAGTTACTGTGAGCTACCGTATAAGCTACCGTAACAACTGTAGGCGGAATAATGTGTTTTGCATAACAGTGAAATTTTCACTTGTTTTTTGTTAACTGCTGTTTTTGGCCGCAGTTCGCCTTGCGAATGTTTCACAAGAATGCTGGGTTGTGAACAAAACTTTCGCCCCAGGCGGGACTAGAACCCGCACCTCTCGCTTTCCGGGCAAGTGCGCTACCAGTTACGCTACCGGGGCACCATTTCATTCCAACTCAGCTTTTCATGGTATACTTACCATAGCTTGTCAGCACTCACACGTATAGCGTGTTGAGCTGGTTGAGCAGTGTAAGCTGAGTTGGAATGAAATGGTGCCCCAGTAAATTTCGATTCTCGAAAGACCTAATAGACCTGCCGTATATGAGCTATCTGCTGGGACCGAACATGTCTGCGAAGTAGGAGAAGCGTTGGCTTGGCTCACAAGTTATTGCTGGAAGTCACAAGTCATGGCAGGACACAGAAAACCTACGAAGGGTTCCATTCGGGATGAAAACGTGTGCACGGCGCATACTAAATTTACCACAATTCCGCCTGTCGATTCCCCCTCAGTTCTTTAGCTACGTCATTTCCATTGCTTGCAGACGGACGTAAATGAAAAACTTTCTAACTAATGTGAATGCAGTTTCACGCGTTACTTTTTTACTTACAACATTACAACACGGCTGTCTGTCGTCATTGGACAACATCTTTGTTGTCCAATGACGACAGACAGTCTTGTTGTAGCCTTTCTCCCCTTATAATTCTGTGTACTTCGTTTTTCACTTAAATGATCCCTCTTTTCCACACCTCCCATCACAGACCAATGCAGACAATGATCTGTGGTGGCAGAAACCCGTTTATGGTGAACTTCAAAGGAACCAAGGAAAGAACATGTGTTTTCATCTACATCGTACAGTTACTGATGTGATCATAAAAATAGCTTCTCGTTGATGAAAACCTGTTTCTGCAATGTGAATGCGCCCTGTCCACAATTGGGACACAGTTGGTGGTAAATACAAGGTCGTCTATGACATCACTGCCAGTTTGCCGAACAGCGCTGGCGGCCTGTTTTCGGCGTAGGTGGCGAGCATTCCGTTCTCTGACGACTTGGGAACAAAGCGAGTTCACCGCTACCCAGCACGTGGATCCCCGAATATATCATGGATGTTCAAGAAGCGGTTATCTGTGGGCGATGTCTATAGCGTCTAGTTGGACTGATGGTAAATACGGTCTAAATCTAACAACGGTCACCAATGAGAAGCTGGTCAGGAGTGCTTAGTTTGACAACCACGGTCAATCTCCTTTATGATACCGCTCTATCATAGGGGTTTTCTCGATCGCCTCCTAATCGTTCTATGGTGATCTAGCCCCTCGCGTGCACTTACAAGAGGGGTCTTTCAGGGCAAGCCACGCTTTTTCAAAACGGTTTTTGCATATTGTAGGGACGCATGTAGGGAAACAAAACCATGTTTCATTTTCGCTGAACGGTTATAGCAGTACCAAAAAAGAAGCATAAGGTACTGTTAATGGTTCGATCCCCCGTGGCGACTAAATTTTGCATTTGGGTTGGCGCCTACGAATTGGTGCCAAATCGCGCTAAATGTCAAAATCAGATGTCATATTATCGTCAGGACCATTTTGGAGCCAACAAGTGGCCGTCAACCTTGATTGCAAAATTTAGTCGCCGCGGGGATCGAACCATCAAGGGTATCATTCACCACTTTTTGATACTACTAAAACCGTTCAGCGAAAACGAAACATGGTTTTGTGGTCCACACATGCGTCCCTACAATAAGCAAGAAACCGTTTTCAAAAGTGCCCCAAACGACCCCCCCCATTATTAGTGTAAATGTATAGGAGGACACCGCTGATAGACAATGTGTCACCAAATACGGAAACTATCGTAGGGGCTGACTTGGACTGACGTCTCGCAGGCAAGCTCGAGGGTTTCCAGCATGCTATCAGGGTCTTAACGGAAAGTATAACCGTGAATGCCCCTGAAAGCGATGCTACCCTCTAGCGATTATCAATCCACAGCGTCAAGGATATTATTAAAAACCCATCCACTGAATTTTATGGAATCACGCAAGGCCGGCTTTCGCCATCGATATGAAGGAAGCGTTGTATGCAAGGTAATAACTCAGACCTCATTATTAATTTTGCAAAGCTATTTTAAAAAAAATGCATAAATGAATTAGAACTGGTTCATCATTACGAAACAAAAAAGAAAGAAAAAAATGTTAAAATGCATCGACTTACTCGAAAATCCGATTGCACAGCTTCATCCATTCGACAGTCATACATACGGGCGAAGAATCCGAGCAACGGTTCACGTAGCCATACCGGAATTTCTCGATTCGCTATACCTCCAACCAAGCGGGAAGCGGCATTGAATGGTAATGATAGGTAAGTTCGAATCTGAAAAAGCCCTAGAAAGTAAATAGGCAAGAATAAAGGACCAACTAAAAAAACAGACATAAACCAAGTATTAGAGTATTTATTTTGTGAAATCTTGAACAGGGACTATCTCCATACGATGGAGAGAATCCTGTAAACGAGGGATAACATGAAAGCTGCTTTTCAAAGAAGTTTCACCATATTTATAAGGCGTGCTCATGGTCCACACGGTTTCAGTCCGACATTTTTTCTGATGAATCATGTTTCGACCCTCCATAAGGCGAAATTCTGCATTCGTCCAATATTCCATTTTTTGTGTACCATTTCGCTATCCCTTGATTTTGACTGAGAAAGGTTAACTCCTTTTTCGGAATTCTCAGAGCGGTTTAGGAAAAAATAATTTCAAAAATTTAAGTTCTGTGTCAAAAAGACGCGCCCTAAATGCAGAAACCCATTTCGTTGAAACCATTGAGAAAACGTTCCACGTCCACAACGACCTCCTTGGTAAACTTCAACAATAGCCCCGCACCAATATCAAAACAATATTAATAGAAATATTATTTCATTGCCATTCCCATTCTTCCCGAAAAGAATGGTAATATCCCACGAAATTGCCTTTTCTCTATCCCATTCACAAAGACAGAGAACACTTCACGGCGCCTTTCGCGACGTATACGAAAAAGAGAACAAAAGGCGTTCGCCAAACAGATTATAGCCCATTCAAAACTGTCACTACTGTGTAGATCACGGACGCGCAATTGTGCTCCATCTTGAAGGCTACGTAATCATCAGTCCAGAATCAGGATAATTTGTTGAGAGTAGACTCTCTCAAACATAGTTTAATGAACATTTCTATGTGAAATCTTACAATCAGCAGATAGACATGTTTAGTCCTCTCTACGAGAAGGATCGCTGATTTGAACGCAACATTCTTGACTGATGATTACCGAAGTAAGCAAACCAATCCTATTGGCGAAGCTGCTGACTAGTTGCACCACTTCGTCATCATTCTTACTGTACCACCGAGTTCAAGTAGGTCCGTCCACCTCGGAGGGACCCCATCCCTCCCCAACATTCAGCATATGGCCCCAGCAGAAACGCCAAAAGGGCTGGTTTGCTTACCTCGGATTACCGTAAGTCGTGGGTTACCCCATGATACCGTAAGCTACGGGTCAGGGTTCAATGCCAACAGCCATTCCCACCCCCCTCATAATTGAGAAAGCCCTGAGACGTGACGATTGCCCCCCCCCCCCCCCCCCCCCCCCCCCCCCCCCCCCCCCCCCCCCCCCCCCCCCCCCCCCCCCCCCCCCCCCCCCCCCCCCCCCCCCCCCCCCCCCCCCCCCCCCCCCCCCCCCCCCCCCCCCCCCCCCCCCCCCCCCCCCCCCCCCCCCCCCCCCCCCCCCCCCCCCCCCCCCCACCCCCCCCCCCCCCCCCCCCCCCCCCCCCCCCCCCCCCCCCCCCCCACCCCCCCCCCCACCCCCCCCCCCCCCCCCCCACCCCCCCCCCCCCCCCCCCCCCCCCCCCCCCCCCCCCCCCCCCCCCCCCCCCCCCCCCCCCCCCCCCCCCCCCCCCCCCCCCCCCCCCCCCCCCCCCCCCCCCCCCCCCCCCCCCCCCCCCCCCCCCCCCCCCCCCCCCCCCCCCCCCCACCCCCCCCCCCCCCCCCCCCCCCCCCCCCCCCCCCCCCCCCCCCACCCCCCCCCCCCCCCCCCCCCCCCCCCCCCCCCCCCCCCCCCCCCCCCCCACCCCCCCCACCCCCCCCCCCCCCCCACCCCCCCCCCCCCCCCCCCCCCCCCCCCCCCCCCCCCCCCCCCCCCCCCCCACCCCCCCCCCCCCCCCCCCCCCCACCCCCCCCCCCCCCCCCCCCCCCCCCCCCCCCCCCCACCCCCCCCCCCCCCCACCCCCCCCCCCCCCCCCCCCCCCCCCCCCCCCCCCCCCCCCCCCCCCCCCCCCCCCCCCCCCCCCCCCCCCCCCCCCCCCCCCCCCCCCCCCCCCCCCCCCCCCCCCCCCCCCCCCCCCCCCCCCCCCCCCCCCCCCCCCCCCCCCCCCCCCCCCCCCCCCCCCCCCCCCCCCCCCCCCCCCCCCCCCCCCCCCCCCCCCCCCCCCCCCCCCCCCCCCCCCCCCCCCACCCCCCCCCCCCCCCCCCACCCCCCCCCCCCACCCCCCCCCCCCCCCCCCCCCCCCCCCCCCCCCCCCTTTTATCTTTTTTTTTTTTTTTTTATTTTTGTGCTTAGTGGCGTTCCCCATCGATTTCTTGTCTAATTTTCGAATAAAACAACACGGCAGCTCCCGACCCGTGCCTTCGGAAAGGGAATCTTAATAAAACTCGATGACAAGAGGAAGTGCGAAGCCAAGCATGGAGTCAAAAAAGCGCTTTTCAGGAAGGAAGACCGTGCGATGTGACTCCTAAGCTCCAAGAAACTGCTTGATTGGTTGATCCTTCAGTTATATTTCGCGCTCTGATTAATGGCAAGCAAAAATGTACTGTGGGGCCGATGCAACCTAATTAGAAATAGGAGTAGAAACGAAATTTAACACCAGTGCAATAACATATTAAAATTCTATACCATAATTGATTTCAAGATAGAAAAGAAATATGATCCTTTCTCTTTGCAGACGGTCTTCATTTCTACACTAGACTAACCATATTTAGCAAGCGCCCCCAGTAATTTAGATAGGAACTAACCTACGCAAGTGAAGTAGCGCCGTCGAAAGGATAAGCGATGGAAATGATGACAGTGTAGAGGAAGTACTAAGAGATGATATTACAAAGCAGAGCGCATCGAAAACATTTATTATGTTAATCATACATTTGTTATGCATCGAAACGAAGACTGTGAAAACTCAAAAAGTCGTAGAGAGACAACGGTATACAACATTCAAATCGTCATGGCTAGTCCGTCTTCACAACAAGCACCGTAACATGAGGACGTTCAGCTATCAATTACACTTAATGCTTCATCATGACTCATCCCCGTGTCCTTGTACTCTGGAATCGCCACCTATTTAATCGTTCACCGCTGATCATCTTCAAAGCGTTGCGAACTAATCGAGTGTGACAACGTCCGGCAGTGGAACTGGTACAGAATGTAGAGATTCTCAAGTTCTCTAACAGTTCGGCTCATTGTCAGCATCAATGATTACACGGGAAGATTCAATGTCGTCAAGAGAGAAGCCATTGAAGTGCTTCTCCTACCTTCAACTGAACAACGAAGGCTGCATTCACTGAGAACCTCCCAGTGACTCGGCGACTTGTTCAATTCATAGACCTTACTAGTAAAGCCGAAAAATTACGATTCAGTAAGGTTTCTCCGATGCCATTTCTACTAATCACGACTACATAACACCTGATGGACCTACACCCAACAGGTGAAAATGACCCCAACGAAATCTCTTGTGAGCCGACAACTACCTCCAAGATTCTTCCCAGGAAACTTTACTGTATCGTTCAATCCGGCAACAAATGCTTATTGCTTTATATTAAGACGATGGAAAATGTTCAAATGAAGGCTCTTTGTTCGTTTCTTTCGACTATTTCATAAATGGCTTGAGATTAATTCTACTAAACTCTGTCCTCAACCCTACCGATCAATTCTCTAATGTCCTTTATCACTCATCCCAACCCTCTTTGCTTCCTTATCACCCTGCTTCAAAATATTTCACCTCTTAATCAAAAAATGCGTAGTAGCCCATCTCCCTCAACACGTCTTTATAGATTGTGGTGCGAGGAGCAAGATGGTGAACTGACCAAAGAACTACCACGCAGCCTTTTCTATAAACCTACTAGCAGTTAGACCACTTGCGTAGTTCGCTTCAGATGCCAGAACGCACGTGAACAATTTGAGGGAGCCTTTCAGCAATTCCGTGAATTCCGGCAAATTTGCCTTGGCATGTGGATGCGCCGAAAAGTCGCTGACGTCACATCACATGCTCAAGATGGAGAATGTGGGCATGCATAATTGTCTGGCGTAACGAGCCTTCCTAGAAAGTCGGCAACAACAACACGATGGAGCGACTCGATTGGCCTACTTTGAAAGTCGAACAGTGAAAAGAAACACTTATCAAATCAATCCTTTTGAATTCTTCAAATATTCCAAACATTCGAAAACTACTGATTATTCAAGCAAGTAATTCATTAGCGAACCCCCAACTCTTCTTACCCAACTTCAAAAAAAGAGTATGGGAATGCTTTTGACAACGACCTTCATCGGTAAACTTTACCCCTCTCTAAAAAGGAACAGTGCCCTAGATTTTGCAAAAGGTAATTACATGCATGATGCATTGACATCTCCACCAGCCAAAGATCATAGGAGCTCTTTCTTCAAACGGAAAACAAACGCTCCTGCTCAAATTCAAATTCACTACAATCAGCCTACACTCTTAACCTTAGGCCGATGTCAGACTTTGCGAATCGCGCGATTCGCTAGCGTCTGCGGTCGCGTCGCGGCCAGTGAATCACTCAATTGGCTGGTACCGCAACGCGACCGCGGACGCTAGCGAATCGCGCGAATCGCTAGTAGCGAATCGCGCGATTCGCAAAGTCTGACATCGGCCTTATGGTAAGAAAAAGCCTCAGGTCTAAAGCTCTCCCTCAAGCTAAGCCTAAGCAAAAGGTGCATTATTCAGGTGACATCATAGCATTTCAATGATCACTTACGAATTCAGGCCTCTTTACACTAAAATCCAACTGATTCAGAGCGAGAAACCCGCAAACAGGTAAACAGGTATATGTAGTTATTCGAACAACTCACAGATCTAGAAACTTTACCCACTCGAAGAAAATTCGAAATCAATCGAACTCGTCCCCTTTCCTATGCACCCTTTTTCAAACTCGCAATTTATCGGGCAAACAAAGCGATGAGCAGTTTCCACTTGAGAACAAATACCCGCAACCATAGCTCTTCCGTTCGATGGGTTAAAAATCATCAGCGCTCACAGGGAAAAGGATTACTAGGTGAGTGAAACGTCCCTTTAGCAATGCAATAATCCTTGCTAGCGATCTTGCCACAAACTGAAAGGTATAA